CATGCGGCCAGAGCACTGAGAGCATCCAGAGCTTACTGGGAGACAAGTGGGAGACAAGGGGGAGACAAGTGGGAGACAAGGGTGAAATCATGCGGCCAGGAACACAAGCCCGGAGACAAACTCAAAGTCATCCGGCCCGAGCATGCACCCCATTAAAAGGAGTCAGAACCCCTCACAGGTAAACCTGTTTGGGGAATTAAGCAGACCATGTGACCATGACTACCGACCTCAACAGAAGGTTCAAGAACTCAATGATATGGTGATGATTTGCGTCTTTTGTTTTCGCATGTTGTAGTGCACCAGAAGACGGCAAGTCTTGCCTACGGCCGACAGCATGTGTCTTGTCTCAGCTCAATCGATGCCTTTTCTTTTGCACTTCGTCCTCAGCTTTTGAGGAGGCCAAGTCCCGTTTGGCTCGTGCATTCCGGCTTCGGGTCATGGAGGCCGGGACATGAGCTCGCCGACGATCGGCTTCATTCCGAGACTGATGCGGTGCGTTTGTTTTCATTTTCGGTACGTCGGTACTTGGTCGGGACGTCCGTTTTGGCGGTGGAGCAAGGGCATCATAGTTACAGCATGGTTAGACGGTTTTTGGGGATTGCTTTTGTGGCTGAAGTCCGTCCCTGACTTGTCATCTTCCAAACATGCCTGGTATCACTTCTGAAAAGCGATTTGTTGAAGCAAAAACGTTGGGATGACTTGCAGATTCAAAGAGTCATGCCATTCAATACGATTTTTGAACCACCCCACGCCAATTCCGCCTTGAGGGGTTGCACTCGCTCAAGAGGATTGCGCTAGCTAGGGCCTAGGGGGTGCTTTGCTTTGGAATCTTGAGGTTGATTCGCACCAACACCCCAGATCGTTTGACTTGAACTCGATGAGCCTAATAATCTGAATAGAGCATGCAGGTGTCCGTTGTCTCCTGTGCAGGGCTAGCAAACCATTTTTCTGTGGGCCTCCTGTGAGTGAGCTTGCTAGTTAGCAAGGTTTGGCACAAATCCGCTCTTCTCAGCTTCTTCTTTGGTACCTTTGACATTTTTGACTGCCATCGCCGCGTCGCCCACATTCGATTTCAATCAGCCTGAAGATTTGACATGTGACTGGTCCACCAGATTAATGACTTCTGTGACCGCTAGATGAATCTGTCAATCTGAAATGCTTGTACTAGAGATATTGAGGTGTGCTGGTTAATGTTGAAGGTTTTGTCCGAATTGCAGTGGGGTGGCGAAGTCACCTTCATTCAGGATTTGGATGCTGAGAAGCGGCAGGTGCAAGATGCAGATCTGTTAGCCACTGTTCGTCAGACGGGCTTTTGCATTCTGTGCAGCAGTAACGCATAGATGAATTATAGATGCCTTTGAGATCCTTTGAGTAGATGCCTTTGATTGCCTCGAGATGACATTAATTTTTGGGTGGAGTTGAAACAACTTTCAGTGTTTTTGCTTCAAAATACCACACTTGCCACGTTGTGGCATGTTCAACATGCTGACAAGCTGCCCGAATGGTTGCTGAGATGCAATGCTGGCATTTGCTGGCATTTCAAGATCAGGTGGAAGAGGTTGGCTTAGCGCTCGACGTGCTCATGAGGAACTGGTTGGCTTAGCTTTTTGCGCTGGACGCACCCGTTTTTGGGTGGTCGACCCATGTGTGTCTTGTGTCTTGCAGGAGGATCAGTCTGAGTCTCGAAATGTGAGACCGAAAAACAAAGACGGCCAAAGCGCCGTTTAAAGGGAATCGTGTCAGGAGTTTGTGGTAGGAATCTGTAGGATTTGTAGGAATTGTAGGGATAGTGGAAGCTGTATATACAGTAGTAGGCTGCAGTCAGGATTGAAACTATTGTGTACCTATGGCATCTGCAAAGATGAGTTGCTAGCCTCCTACATACAGCCTTCGACCTACAGCCTTCGATTGGTTGCCATGGAGTCAGATTGCCTGCGAAATATGCAGAAATTGGTTCGCTTCGCAGTTGAAAGTTTGCATCAAGTGACTTTGGATACTGCTTGCAGTTCACTTCTTCTCTGCCTCGCCGTGCAGATAGCTCACACAATCTCAAGAAGGATGCACATGTAAAACGCAAAACGACAACTTCAAGAGGTGAGATGAACTGCAAACAACTGCAATCATTTAAGCACATTATGCCTTTTAAAGACGTTTTGGGAAAATGTTTTCCACATGTTTCAGGCCTGGCGACTGGCTTATTTTCCTCATCGACGAGCCATGTGGGCCATGCCCCTTCATTTGCTTCGAGTCGACTTTTGAAGTCGAACTGTGCAAAGCTCAGTCGAAGCAGTGAAGTGAAAAGCTAGTCAAGTCCAATCAAGCAGGAAGATGAGTCAGTCAACCCAGATGACCCAGAACTATCGAACAAATTGCCAGCTTTGTTTCGAGACAGACCGCTAGATGTAACAGGCCGAGCCTTTTGCCGCTTTTGCAGCTTCCAACATCTTTCAACTCTCCCAATGAAGCAGAGCTTGATTAAGAAACAGCCAGCGAAGGAATTGAGATATTCTCAGATCCTGATCTCGCCTGAATGCCATCATTACAAGACAACAAACCAAGCGCCTGCAGACCAGTTACCCTTCGAGGCCAAAGTGCGGATGTCGGCCGTTCAAAAAGCCAGTGGCTCGACAAAGGAAGTGCGGAGTCACGAATGCATTGCGGATCTTGGAAGACTTGGTGATGGTTGGTGATGTTTGACTCATATATGAGTCATAATATAAGCGTCATGCATCCTGTGGCAAATCATCTTCAGACTCTTGAGAGTTGCTGATGACTCACAGCCGCGAGGTAGCTCGATGGATTGTCCCACCGTGCCCTCCGCCGCAGAGCCGCTCAACTACCATGCAGCGGCACGTCAGGGCCGTCAGGCTCCTTTCCACAAAGATGAATGGAAGATAGATAAGATGATGATATCATGGATGAGTCAATCATTTCCGTATTGGTTGATATGTTAATATATGCATGTCATTCGTCCGAGTTCATCCAGGTTGAACTGTCATGTGAGACACACAAAAGGTGAGTGAATTAAACATGAGTCAAAGGTGATTCCAGGTTGCGGCTGGCAATATCAGAACAAGACCAGACAAGTACGTACAGCCCCTGTATGCCCCTGTCCAGTCCCCTGTCCTTGTTGGCAGGCTGAATATGGTGAGAGGTGGGGTGAGGGTGCTGCCAGATATTTCAGTATCGAAGCAGACTTCTTGGATGAGGCACTCCAGCTCAACGTTTTGATATGTATTTTGATTTTCTATTAGCAATAAAGGTAAGCTTGCTGGTCATTGTCTCACTCTGCCAGGATCAGAGCATCCGACTAATGCCTGTGCCTGAAAGTCATATGCTCAGCAGTTCAGATCCTAAATGATTGAAGACCTCCTTTTCTTGCTGAAAATCCCAGCTAAGCTGCACATTCGAGTGCAAACACTTTAGGCTTCTTTTGCCCCATCTCTGCGACCATTATGCCAGCAGCCAAGAACTTTTAAACTGTGTCCCATCGCATACTACCACAACATGAAAAGAACGTGTCGTTTTCCAAGCATGCTACTCTCCTGCCACGTTACAAGGACGTGGTCCTGGTTAAGAATGGTACTGGTGTCATTTGGGTGGTGAACAATTTGGAGTTCGTCGTTGGTCAAGGTATACAAGGTTCATCCTCATTACTATTACCAAGGAAGAAGTTGTGTTTTTGTGTTGTTTTTTACTTATCCTCCAAGGAATGACCAGGGATGTTTTTGCAACTCACGACTCGTTTCGCTGGTCTGGGCAAGAAACAAGGAAGACGTAAAGGATCTATAAGGATTGGCAATCCGCGTGTCAAAATAACACACAGTCACCAAATTATAGGGATCCTTGTTAGGTGCTGGACTTGTTAGGATCCTTGTTAGGTGTCACCTCCTTGTTTGAGATCCTTTATAGGACTCTTGGAAACCCAACTTACACTGGCCAGTTAGTTGTTGGTCCTTGTATTTTTTGGCCAGATTTGGCCAGGCGAATTTCAGTCAGGTCGGATCCGGTGGCGACGGTGGATGGATGCGCCTACGAAAGAGACTACATTGAAAGGTCGGGACCACAAGAATTGACCGGATGCAAGGTATAAGTATAATAAGGAACATGCTTTGCAAAACTCAATGGCCAAGCCAGCTTTTGGTAGTGTTTGTTGAAGTTGGTATGCGTTGGTGCATTCTCTTGAATATTGCAAAGTAATATATAGGGGTTGGAATTTCCTCTACAAAATCGCGGGGGTTGGGACCCCTAGAAAGCGATTTTTAAAGCCAGATGTTCTTGGTTAACATGGAGGCTTGTAAGTACCAACCTGGAATCTTCTCGATTTTATAGACAATTGTTGTTTTTTACAAGCTCGATTCCATAGAGGTGTTGAAGTGATGGTGCAGTGGATCTTGGTGCCTCAGGCATATTGATTCTATAGAGAATTGTTAGCATGGCTTTGCATGTCAGGGACTGCAATTCTATAGAGATTGATGTGTTATTTCAATTGTTCGAGTTCAAAACTCCCCTGATTCCGAGAATACGCAATTGGGATTGCTCAAAAGAACCCTGGGGAATGGACTCTTACCTGTCCATGACACCCCTTTTTTTTCTCAATGGATTTGTGGTCCTACCAACTGGGGAATCAATGCCTTCCTGGGCAGTTGCACTTTTATGCGTTCTTCAGAACCTTGTACCTTGATTCTATAGAGACCAAGTTTCTCACTCCTATTGACAAACACCTGTTCGACGGTACCTCAGGATCTGCATTTTATAGAGCAAGATCCTCAATGCTCCCAGCTTTTGACAGACTCATGGTCCTCAATTCTATAGAGCTGACTCGTTGTTTTTGGACTCTTTTCCCATATCATTCTCAATTTTATAGGGTCAAAAAGTTGCAATTTTTTGAGGGGAGTTGGTCCCAGCATTTTAGTACTATAAAATCGCTGCCCCCGGGGCACCCACTTACTACCAACCCCTATGCAAAGTACTGATACAACATACATGGGCACTATTCGCTCCTTGGTCTTTTTTCTTCAGGTGGTTTAGAGAAAGGCGGCAATCCAACCAAGCCATCACTTCGCCGACGACAGGCGAAGATTCTGAATCACTGAAGCATTTACGTTCATTATTACTTGCATTTGCATGGTGAACGACTGCCCTTTGGCAACTTGATGCAACTCGCACGTCAGGCTTGCCTCTCCCGTCAACAACTCTGATGCCCTTGCTTGCCCTGCAGCGTGCCGCAGCTTTAGCATGCAGATTCATCATATTCAATTTGTAAATACACAATGTGATTGATTTCAATTTTGAAACTGATTAATGATGACACGGAGGGGCCCACTCAATGTGTATAGATGTGTCTAGTGACTATATATATATATATATGATAAATATATGTGACTATTAACTATTATCCACTACGTTACTATACAGTAATGTTTGCTGAGTATGGGTGGGCAAACAAAGGGTTCGAGTGCAGCATGTGTTGAATCCTCCAGGACTCCATTGAATATAATACAGTTTTTTTTTGTTTCGTCATTATGAGTTCCTCATCCGGGATGTTCGATGTTCTTTTTCCGAAGAACATGTAAGAACCCAGAACCAACATTCTGGTCAAACTTCAATAACTGTGACATGGACTGCTCTTAAGCCTGGAAGGTGTTCATTGGGTTGGTGTAAGTGTAAGCAACTTGCAACGATCCCCCTTCATATTTGGTCAGAGGGCGTTCGAGACTGAGGCCATTGAGGCTTATCTAGCACATCGGCCAGAGTTGAGGATGGTGTTTTCTCGGGAAAGCCATGCTAGTAGTAACAAGAAGCTACTAGAAACAAGTGCCACGCTAGTAGTAACAAGTGCCTTACTAGTAGTAGTAACAAAGAAGCTAGTAGAAACAAGTGGGTCTACATTCCAGAAAGAGCATGTCTCGCTTCGGTCGAGTCAACGTTGGCCGCAAGGAAGAAGCGTTTGCGACACTAAAATCATCAAAGCAGCTAAATGGTATCCAGCAAACCACAACCTTCTATGAACACCCATCATTCCCCAAGCATTTCAATAGGATTTCACATTCTTTTTCTGCTCTAGTCACTTGCAGGAGAGATCACATGGCTGGGCGTTCCTTTGAGGAGGCGGCCCAGGTCTTGCAGGACCGCTGGTCCAATGATCCGTGTGGGACCTGGGACTTGAGCTTTTGGGGTCTGGAGCCATGGGGCGTGAGCCTGGTACAAAATCTTTTTTTTTTGCCTGGTAGATTGAACATACACCAGTACTTTTTCCAGCTCTAATAAGCTGGGAGAGGTGGATGTTTTAACATCTCGTTCTTGCTCTAGACACTTTGGATTCCAGTCCAATTCGGACCTGAAAAACAGTGCCAAGCTCCCAGTAGCTTCCTTGCTCCTAGTAGAAAGGCCAGGAGCCCCTAGTAGCGTCCTTGCTCCTAGTAGCGATTCCCTTTGCTCCCAGTAGCGTCCTCCAACCCCCCCCCCCCGTTCACTCTTCCCGTCCAACATGTTTGGCCGCAGTCTGACCTCTTGGAGAAGCAAGCAATGGCGACCAATATGGGCGATGAGGTTCGAAGATTACGAGAGGCCCACAAGGTGCCTGAGACATCGCCTGAGATTACGGACGGTCTGGTGTTCTTTTGCTTTATTTTTTTTCTCTTTGTTTGATCTATTGATGTTGCTATTTCTTGGGCTTCTTGCGAGCACACACCCTTTGCATCTCTTTTTATACAATGTAGCTTCGATACTTTTTCAAGTGAGAGGCTTTGCTGCGTCAGCTGCGCCAGTGTGAGGGCGACAAAGCTAAGCTGGTGCAGCAGCTACAGCAGGACCCTGCACTTTGGTTAGCTGCCTTGTGTTCAACAATGCCCAATCTGGATGCAACATTGACATACATCCGTAAAAAAAATGAGAAGCAACTATATAACGTTCTATGCCCTTCCTTAGCCTTGGCAATCAGGCCAGATTTCAGCTGGGCATTGCCGAGGACCTGAGCCGAGTTCCGTAAAGTGTTTGACTCACCGTGTCCATGAGATCAGAAAAACTGCATTTTGCACTGACAATGATTGCGATTGAGTTGTAGTGCAGACTGAAGAAAGAGTGGATGAGTTCAAGCCGAGTTCAAGTCAAACTTGGTAGGAGCCTCAAGAGCCCAGCATTTCCAAAGATTCGGCGGATCAAATTCAGCCGAGCAGCAGTGATGAAAGCAGCCCGGATCAGCCCGGTGGATGTGGCAGTTGCGTTTATGCATTTTTTTTGCTGATGCACTCGCTTGTCCCTTTGAAATCTTTGAAGGTGAACTTTGGAGCAATGGAGTATCAAACGCTACTAGTAGCTCCTGGCATCGCTACTAGGAGGAAGGATGCTACTGGCCTTACTACCAGGAACAAGAAGCTACTATAGTAGCAAAGGGCATCGCTACTAGGAGCATGGACGCTACTATCAACACTCTGCTATGTGGCCCTTTGGTTTGGCCCTTTGGGGTTTT